CCCTTAAAAAAATCCAGGAATGTGGTACAAAATGTTGAACTCCAAAGGGATGATTTCACCCACCACCACCTCCCTTCTCCACCTGACTGTTCATAGAGAGTTGTATACAACCATGGGGTTTGTGTCTTAGGTAGCCCTAAGCTAAAATTCAGCACAATAGCAAACTGTGGATCGACATTTCCAGTTTTTAATGATGTGCTTCTGGGCATTCTGATGAAATTTGAGTACAAACTGGGCTTTCCTTTTTACTAGAGGAAAGATGGTGCATTCACAGCAGTAAATTCAACATTTTTGCCTCTATGGTTAATTAACCAAAACATAGAAGTAACACAGCAAGCAGTGAGAAAGTTTATAAGCAAGGAAGGGATTAAGAAAGGAAGGAAGATTAAAAAAAAAAAAGAGGGGGGGTGTGTCTAAAATCACAATGCAGAGCAAAAGGAGTAACAACCATGAGCTTTCCAGTATCAAAGCCATGTAAACGTTAGTTGGAGGTAGAAATCACTTTAATCTAGAACAGGATTTATAGGTATTAACACATTTTTATCGTGGTTATTTCATGCTACAAGTTTCATCAAAATATAAAACAATGGTGTGTCCAGAATTTTTTTCTTGATGCTGCAACTGAAATTTGACGTCATGTGGGCAAACTTTTAATCAGGGGAAGGTTAAGCTTTTTGATTGGCCTAAAATGTTCATACAGTTTTCTTCCTGTTCTGCTAGACAGACAGACATGAACATCTTTAAAATTCTATGCTAAACCCCTTGGTTTGATAATTTACTTTAGCCGCTTCATTTTAGCAGTGATTCCCCAGCTGCTGTTAATTAGTAGATAAGCTCAGCTATCGGAGGCAGCAATCAGTCAGCGAGCACTCCTTGTAAGACTGAGTATTTCGGGAGTTCTCCTTCTGACCAGCTTATGATATTAGGAAAAGCAAACTTTATCTGTGGCTGTGTCTTTCTGTGTTCACAGTGTATCTAAATCCTCATTACAGATCAATTAGTCTCGTTTTGAGCCTTTTAGATTTAGGATCACAGGATTAATGAAAAGAAAATGAGCGGGTAGCAATATCGTTTCATATGGAGATAAGGAGAGACTGAGCATGAATGAGGATCTCAAGACATCTGAATAAAGAATTTCCTCATTCTGTCAGTGAAGTTTTATAGGATATGGAGGGAGGATTATGGGAATATTCATGACCAGATCAAGAGGCATAATGAGTTGATGTATGAACCAGCTTATCTTTTAGGTAAACATAGGGTAAATGGGAAGTTGAATAGCCATTCATTGCCCCTAGGCCTGTGAATGTTACTGTTCTAAAGATGGAAACAAGGATTTAGTTACAGTTATTCTTCATTGATTTCATTTGATTTTTGGTCACGGTTTAACAGGTGCTGGAAGAATTATGCATTTGTAACTTCAGGTCTGCATTAAAACTGCCAAAGGCCACGTCGTCTTCCTAGAACCAGTGTAAACCATAGTATATATTTAAACTTCTGCAGTACCGTATAATAAGAGTGTAGTCCTTTAACAGCCTTCTGTGATATTGGAGCATTGTGTAACAGTGCTGGGGTAGTTCAGCCTGTTACAAAAATAGTTTGCTAGCAAGCTGAATGCTTTTAATCTGTGGCTTACTTGTATGTGGAAAAACGCAGTATCACAAAACCTAGAAAGAGCAACAGGTCACTTTTCTCTATCCCTTATTTTACTTGCATAGTAACTATTCTTATCTGAAACCCAAACGATGTTCTGGGTTGGCATGTTGATAAACCTTCCTCAAAACAAAATGTACTATAACTTACAAGTCTGAGTCGCTAGTATTTTGATATAGGTGTCAATCAAAACCCTACAAATGCAGGTACACAGCTTGTTCATTTCACAGAGATCTTCCCTAAAGAAAGATGGGTAACATCTGACTCTTGAATTGTAACAGTTAATTGTTGTTCCAAATGCAAAGTCACATGTTGCTGATGAAACTATGGGCAGTTATCCCAGAATTGCAGACCCTGCACTTGCACTCATTAGAAGAGTTCTGCCTGAGCATTTACATTTACTGGTTTATTAAGATTAGTATTGTGTAAATGCATAACTGCTATTAGCCTATTTAAAAAGTAAACCAATTTAGCAGACTGCTGCTCTGTGCTATGGAATGGACTTGTGGGAAAATGTTACGGGTTGGCTGGGGTCTGCTGCTGCAGAAGGCTTTTACTACTGCTAAGAATACAGGGCATAGCATGAATGATTGCAGCTATTTGGCAGTCACTGTAACTGTTCTTTTTTAAGAATAGCCAGCATGTTTTTTCAAAGTATTAAATTACCTCAAGACTTCATAATTACTACAGTTAAGCAATCATTTCAATTCAGTCCAAGTATAAAAACTAATAAAGTGCTCATAATATGGAGTCAATTTTAGTATGTCTGTTCTCTGAGCGAACACAGCTGATTCAGTATATTCTGGTGGAACACATATTCGCTATCCTGTTATTTTAATATACACTAATCAGAAAATTAAAATAGATTTTGTTGGCACAAACCCTTTTTTTTTAAGGGTGAAATAATAATTATAGATTTTTGCTGATGGTATTAGTTTTTAGGACTGGAATATTTCATTAGCAAGAGGTTGAGAAGGGAAAATATTTGCACTTAATACTGCTAAATCTGCCTGCTTTCACTGAGTCTAATGGCTTGATCAATATAAAGAACATAGTTGGGGAAAGCACACAGCAATTAAAAAAAAAAAAAAAAAACACATCAAAAAAAAACCCCACATCAAAAATAAAGCTATTGAAAGCACAACATGAAAGAGATCTTCTGGGTTGTGAGATCTAATCTGCAGTTATCACTGGCAACTGCTGCTCATTTTGGAGAGTGCGGTCCAGGATTAATAATTTCCAAAAATATGTCAACTCTGTCCAAGATAACAGGACATTATTTCAAAGGCTAATTCTGAAAACATATAGAGCATCAGTATCAGAAGCCGAGCTAGGTAGTTGCCTAAATAAATGCCATAGAATTAATGCTTTCATTATACAAGAGGTTTATGTATTTATAGTTTGCAGGTCAGTATTATTTTTTTTTTTTTGAAGAGATAATACCGAAACACTTTGAATGTGCTTAGTAAGGAGAAGTGATCATGGGACTACTTTCTTTTCAATGGCAGCTTTCAAAGATTCTGCTGAACTGAATCGAGGAATTTTTTTTTTTTTTTTTTTTTTTTTTTTATCCCCCTGCCCCGCCCGGTAAAAATCAGCTACTGCTGTTTCTAAACTTCCAAGATACAGCTTTTGCCCTCATACTTCATTTAATATCAAAGTACTTAAAAAAAAAAAAAAAAAAACAACCCAACAAACAAAAAAAAAAAAAAAAACCAACCAGAAACTGAAATTCAAGGAAGTTCTTTAGGACCCAGCGTGTGATTCAACCTCGTGGTGTATCTGTGTTTGTAGATAAGCACCATTGGGGAGGGGGGACACTGCAGTGTTGAAAGTATAAGTGGCTTGCCCTTCGTCACCTGAGAACTGCATGATAAAGACACAAGTTTGAGATTTCTTCATCCTCATGCAGGCTATTTTCCATATTTTATTTCAAATGCTAACTAAAATTCTCTACTTCTGTTAGAACAGAACTACAGGGTTTTGTTGAGTTTTTATTATTATCATTATTATTGTAATTACTCTAAAATGGATTTCATAACTGTCTGTGGGATTGTCACTTTGTTACTGGATGAAACTTTTAGTTCCCTTAACTACGTTCTTAGAGCAGTCTCTTTCGAGGTAATTTTTTTTTTCCACTCATGCTTATGTATCCCATTTACAGCTATTTATTTTATTTGTCTTTCTGTTTTGCTGTTATTTCAGCTTAGCAAAGGAAGTTTATAACATGTTATTGCTAAAGAGAAGAAAATGTTAATGAAAGATTTTAAACAAAGAAAAAGCTCAAACCTTGTATATGATACAAGGGAACTTATGGCTTTAATCCAATAGTATTTTTAGCTTAAAAAAAATAAATGTCTGTGTTTATGCTCATCTAACTTATTTTTGTCTGTCCTACTGCTCTCCCCCTGTTCCTTCATGTTTCTGAAGTGTGTGTTTTTCATGGCTATAATCACACACAGAAGGAGCTTCAAATGAGGATGTGGTGAGAGAGAAGCAGGAAATCTCGCAGGCTTTGGATTCCAGCTACATTCTAAATCTTGCTTCATAAGCAATTTAATAAATCAGATAGGTTATATGATGACAAGTGTTGTATGGAATTGAGAAGAGTGGAAATATGCCTAAAGCCTTGAATTTTTCCCAATCAATGTTGCCTTTTCATTCTTAGTAACTTTGTAGTTGTGTTCAAGTTGTGTTTTTGTAGAGAAATAAACTCCCAGATTTAGTATTTACATATAAAATAAGATTCTGCCCACATCCATCTGGTTAGTACTGAAATGCAAGGAAATAAAGTGCAAGTTTTAACCATTCTTAACATTGTGTGTGCCCTTTTGAATAGGTGTCTTGAGTACTGATGTTTAGTTCCCTGAAATTCTCCCTGCTGAAAGGGCACAAGCTTTCAACTTGTTTTAGAATGATTAGTAGTATTCGTGACACTTGCTGTGGAGAATAAGGATATTTGGTTAAGAGAGAAAGGGATTAGTGGGCATTATTTAAAAGATGACAACCCCCTACGTGTAACAGGTGTACAGTAGTTCTGCTGTGCATGATCTAATGGAAATTTCAGGGTTTTAAAATAAAATTTTTCTAGTATTGGACTGATTTGGTAAATTTTTGAATTATTAAATTGGCATGGTAATCATAAAATCTGTAGTAGTTCTTCAAATGGGACAGAGTTTCACTTCTGAAGTAGAAAAACGTTCTAAATCTTAGTAATTAAACTAAATGCCTAGGATTACATTGGTGACAGCATTAGTTTTTGTTCATGTTCACAGGTTTGGGTTGTTTTATCTGGGCATGTCCTCAGTTAAGAGTAGGTATTTGAATGGTGGTCTTTTTAATTCCTCCAGAAAAAGTTCGGGAAATCCAGGAGAAACTTGAAGCCTTCATAGAAGCCCTCCATCAAGAAAAGTAGATTGTTCAAGCAGGTAATCATGTTTAGATCATAAAGATTGCTACAATTTTCTCATTGTTTGATGTAAAATGATTATCTCTCTCTTAGATGCACATGCTTTCATACAGACTTGGTGAAAATTCCTTTTTGTTTTATTGCAGTGCCTGGCTGCTGCTGCTTCTTGCTTCTTATCTGCAGAACTCTGCTTTCAGCTTTTGTGCTACAAGCAGATACAAAACTTAGTAGAAATACAGTTACTGGCTAGTTACTCGGATATGGTGAAACACTGCAGGCTATTTGATTACTCTCAGTCCATTATTTTTATCCATGTTAAGAGAAAGAAGGTATAACTAGCTGGAATCAAAATTAAGGGAACACTTTTCTTGTCTACAAAAGCATTTTGATTATTTTTTTTCCTTAAAGGCACTGTGTATTGCTAGCAAAAATATTTCCAAGTTTCTTCTATATTAATTCTCAGAAACATAAACCAAAGTGCTGTCATGTATCCGCACACATTTAAAATAAACTTATTTCTGTTTTAACAGCAACTTTACACAAGAATGCAGCCTTTTCCAGGATACCTTGAACAAAGACTGAATAGAAATGGCTTTTGTGACCCATTCTCTTTCCTGTCTTTTGGGGATCATCCTGAAATGTTGGAGGAGAAAGAAAATAATGTCTCATGGGATTGAGAAGTTCAGTTAAAATCCACCTGCTCTTTTAATTTTTGAAGCTACATCCACATGACAGAAGAATCTGACTTGTGTGTCAATGAAATAGCTTGGGAGCTTGCTGAAGTTGTACATTTAAGGTGTTTTTTTTTTTCCTGAAAGGGAAAAAGCTTTAATTTTTGTCATCTCTCTTGTATGGTAAAGCTGGATCAGATTCATAAAATGATTATATCTGTTGTCATCTTCTTGCCTGCAAATGATCCTGGGAGTTTGACATAAAGTTTTAGTATTTGTATGTACATTAAAATGCCCTTCTAAGTAATGCCATTTGTATTTGTTATGCTCTGTGTTGAAGCATTCTCTGATCACTCTGGGTACAGATTTAAAAGCATGGCATTGAGATCTCGAGAGGAAGTTGTGGATTTTATTAAACTCCTAAACTCTTGAGACATCATCCAAGCAATTCTTGTACTTTCAAGTGAAAGTGCAAACTGCTATTCACTGACACCTTAAAAGGTTTGGCTCAGGAAATAATGTCAACAGCTGCTCCTTTTAACCATTCTTTTCTAATATATGTTGTTACTCTTGAATCATAGCCAATTACATTTCATTTCTGGGATTGCACAGACTGTGATTTCCTTGTTAACTCCTCCCTTCATCGGTACAAAGTAAACTGATGGAGCACGTGTGAAATGTAGACAGATACTCCGTACAATTCCAACTTCTCCAACCTCCTCAACTAAAAAAGGAAAACTATAATTAATTTAATTTTTCTAATAGCAACTGTAAGACCAAAATTGCTTTTATAAGAATGTTATGCACAAGGTCCTTCCACACCCACTTGATTTTTATCATTCAGTATAGCAAAAGTAGTAAGTAGTCTTTCTTTTACAGCCTTTCAGTTTTGCCATAGAAATGTCACTTCTGACAAATTGAGGCATGATACAGGCTCTATCATCAGTGCCTGGTGATTAATCACCATTAATACATACACAGATAAATACAGATATTTTTCTGTCCACACTTTGCCACAAATGATCTGGATACATTTCTGAATACTTCTGTGGAAGAAGATACTAGGCCTGAAACAGTTTGTTTTGCAGTTGTCTAGTTATGTACATTGAAAATTTGACCTAGGTTTATTTTTCCCTTTTGAAAAGGCTATTGCTTTTGATGTGTGGCAATTAAAAAAGAGGAATCTGAACGTTTTCCAACAGATACTGTTGCTTTTTGCTCTCAGAGGAAAGAATAAAAAATTTGGTAAGACATTCCCCAGGTGTTCAGACATAAAATAGTTAGTCAAGTGGACAAAAAGTTAACGTGGACTATTCATAAAGTGGTGTTGAAAGGTTAAATATTTCAAGGTGATCTAACTGAATGTTTTGGGATTTTCTGTTTAAAATTACTTCCTGAAAATAAGTGTTTGAGAAAGGAAAAATGAAAAAATGACTTGCATCATCATCATTCTGGGAAGATAACTTCAGAAAAGTAAGTTTGCACAATTCTGAAGGCAGAGTCCTGAGGTTGTATAGCAACTGAAATAAGTCTGTAGTATTGTTAAATCCCTCTTTCTAAAAAACAAAACAAAAAACACAAACAACAACAAAAAAACTTTTGCGCTTAAGTAGAGTTCACTGAAACTTGTGTAATGTAAATGTTGCAAAATGTCGCATCCGGTGGCCCAGCATTCATCTCTTTTAGTGTGATGTTCCGATAGTTCTATTTCTGACTTCTCTGTGCTGCTCATCCAAGGCTTAGCATGATGTATTCCATGAAAACTAGGTATTTATTGAATAAAAATGTAACTGAAGGAATAATAAAATGTGGGGTTTGAACATAGTGCTATTGCACCTAATTCAGAAGTCACTTTGGCCTTCTTTTTTTCATTTGGTAAACTGTGGAAATGTATACTCTTAATGATATTAAAATGTCTGATTTGGAAGTGCTGTGTCAGCACCAAGTTAGTGATAACTATACGAAGTGTTGTCTTTTGCTAAATAAATTAATTATTACCTTACCATTCATGTAAGACATTTAGACAAGATGTCTTAGGAAAAATCATTATGTTGAAATCTTATCTTTCTGGAAGTTTAGATAATGAACTGATATTAAAAATTTCCATGAAGACTGGTTAATGAAGTGTTAGTTTCAGGTGTATTTAAAACAAACATATTTACTGGGTCATTGCATTTGGGAATTATAAAGCAGTCAGCTAACCAACCCATGAATTGAGGAACATGTCTTTTCCTTTTTTCTTTCTTCTTCTTTTAGATGAAGAAAAATGTTACAAAATCAATTGAGAAAAAAATAATACTCACTGTAAAACTGTGGTGTTGAAGGTGATGCGTATTTGCTTCAGAAAGCTCAAATTGCAGACGTGGGCATGTTAGGATCAGTGGTGGATAACTCTACATTAACTTATTTCAGGATTAAACTAACTAAAAATGATCTTGACAAATAAGCAACAGGTAATTTTACACTTTTTAAATAGGATTTTTTGTTACGATTAGGGGAAAGAAGAGTTATGGCAAGTTGTGCTTATCTCATTACTAAGTTAGCATCACTTCACAAAAGTAAAAATGGGTTCAGTAAGTGCTGTTGGCTGGTGTGGCACGTCTGGACAAGGCGACAGGGGAGGGGAGCGAGGGCCCCCGTCCCGCGGAGGTGGGGTGGGGTCC